CGGAGTTCTGCGCCGACTCAACCCCGCTCGTACCGAAGTAGTTGACTACATTCAACTCTCCGCCCATCACGTCGAAGAATTCGTCGCGTGGAAGTACCCTGACCAGCGCGATAAATGGGCCGACGTCGACGGACTTGCAGTGACCGATGAAGCTCAACTGTGGACTGTTCCTGAGTTCATTGTCCCTCTCGATCCGAGCACGATGGTCTCGAAGCCAAAGGACAAGACGGGATTGAGGCCGCAGGCTACAGATTGTCGGGGCCTTACATGTACCAACCCAGAGTATTGTAGGGCTTTCGAACCGCCGTGCGCAGAATGTGAGCCGTATCAGGAGTGCGTCGGTGGGCCGACAGGCTGTCTGGTGCGTTATATATGTGAAGATACCCTGCCACCTGCCGATCTCTAGAAGGGATTGGAAGCTTTGCTGAAGGAGTGTTGAATGACATGTAGCCATCTTATAGTACATACATGGAGCAGTCTTCGGGAGTCTCGGAGTTTGGAATATCAAGCGTGTGTTGGCATTCGCGTATCCTTTCACCCCTTCGAACTGAAGTGGCTCCTAATCTTCTTCAAACTATCGTGATTGTTTCTATAGAGGATTCGCGGGTCCACCATGTTGCGTCAAGCCGTGGCGACCTAGTATCAAACCAGCCAATGCGATGGAATGATTGATGATCTTTTTGAGAAGACTGGCGAAGGACAAAGCCGCAAGGATATGCGTGGTAGCTAGCCATCTCCAGTAACCATATGCGCTGACCGACTTGAGCATCACCTGAAATGCTGTCGGGCAGCGAGACTGCACTGGAGACTGGCAAAACTTCGTTCCCGTCTAGAATCACTCTGGGTATTCTTGCCCCTTTAAATTTGGTAGGGCCCAGATCGAAGTACCGGAGAACCTCGTGTATTTGCAGCGAACGCAACGGCCCTCGTATTACCAATCGACCATCAATGACAGCTCCAAATGGCTTGCTCGAGTTTGCCAAGAGGACCTCACAGTGCATGACTTCTGCTACTGACTCCAGGCCATTCGGTGGCCTAAAAAATTCGATAGCTCCGTCAACAGAAGCCCATGACCATGATGGCGCACGATATGTCTCGGGTCGTCTAGCGGGTTGGGGACCTTTGGCAACGTCGAACATCAAGTCGTGGAACCACATCAACTCGGACATTAGAGACGCTTTCCACAACCCAGCTAGATATTCGTCTCCCGTCATGAGATGGAGTTGCTGGGCAATGCCGGAAATTGCCAGAAGCTTGTCGCCTTCTTCAGTCATTTCCCTCCGAGTAAAGTCTTTCACGACGTCTCCCCATACTTGATGCGCGGACTTACTGCCCGGAGACTTTGAAACTAATGCAGCTGTCAATGGTGATAACATGGATGGTACTGTTCTGATTTTGCCCATCCCAAAGAATCCCTGTGACTCAGGTTTCCCTCCATCGGTGTATCTGACGGTTTGGCACTCCCACACTAGCTGACGTGAGGAGAAATATAGTACGCGTGGAGAAAGTAAAAATTCTTGCAGGGCCCATGCTCTTCCGTCGAGTGGCTCCTCGCGTGGTTTTCCAGAAAATTGACGGTGCAAGGACACCTTCCCAAGCTTACCATCGAGACAGCTCCAGGGAAGATCTCCGACAAAAGTTTCATAATTCGGTCTGCGTCTTTTCGATAGAAAGCCGTCTATACATCTTGATGCGTTCGTAGCTGCAATGGTGACCAACGCATTTTGATAAATGCTTGCCATCCTCGCAATTTCTTGACGCTTGTCATCTACGCTGTCCTGCACGATACATAGCGAATCAATCCACAAATATTTGACCCCCAATTTCCTCGTGTAAGATGCTGCATCCTGTATAGTTTGTGGTAGAGCTGAGACTTCGATGCCGGTTCTGTGGTTTTCTATGTTTTCGGCCAACGTCCGTACTGGTTGTGGACCACCCCAACAATAGCTTAGAGCACAGTAATGGCACCGTTCGCCGTTGGAAATATGCAGTCGAATAGCTTGTTCGCTGACATCTAAAACCCTTGTGGGTAATAGAGGAATAGCGGGTTCGGGACAGTGCTTGTGAAACTGCTTGCACTCTTCAATCCATGATTTCGCTTGCTCGGTGCTAGAGCTGACGTCGTGATTGACTGGAGAACATTTAATCTCCGCTGCCGCAGGATCATCTGAATATCACAAACCATGTCAGTTGATGCTAAGTCATGGTTGCGGGCGGGATACGAACCACGGTGAGCCAGAACGGACCATGTAATAAACCCCAATTCATCCGACCAGCCTGAGTCTGCGGACCAACGTGAATCTTCCCCCTCTACCTTCGTAAAAATCCTTAGATTATCGACAGAACCTTTAAAAGTCTCTACTCCTCCGAACTTAGAAAACTGTATGTTGATGGCGATTCTTGCATCTAGATCGAAACGACTGGTGTCCTTTTTGGCGTCGTTGAACAGATAGTCACACATTTCACATTGAGCTGATGCTGCAAGTAAGTCTCGCGCCTGACAAAACGAAGTGAGACCCTCTTGACTTTTGGCCATCTCAAGATTCTCTCTGCTTGATGCGAATCCGCAAACGCCCCAACAGACAGCACAAACTTGTCGAGAAGCATTTTTCGCGACGTCCATGTCGATCGACTGAACAAGGCTTGGTATCGTTGAGGCGGTCTTTCCGGGCAATCGTAACGTATCGTGTGTTTGCGCAATGTATTAAACACGGATGCAATCGCTAGATGAAGGTATGGCATGGAGGGGAAATTGTACGGAGGGGGCGATGCGTATGGTGACAGCCCTGAAGGTGGGGCATACAACACGCCCCGCAGTGACAGTCAGCGAGCTGTAGAGGTAGCCTGCCGAATACCAAGGATCAAATCGCTTGCCTCCTCCATAGCTCTTGAGACCCTTGCAGGGTCTTTTTCGTACACCCTGTGGCCCTATAGACACCTGAGGTTGAGTGCGCAATGTCTCCACGATCTGACCTAGCCAGCTCACTCATGGAGAAAGCTGAATACCCTGGAGCGTAGACCTGAGGTCATCTGATTTGCATGTTTTAATGTTAATGTAGGCTGCAGGCCTGTTCAATCTTTTCCTTGTATGAGGTGTAGCGCTGTTGTCCGTGACTGCGCGACTTCCACATTCATGTAGCGGTGTCACCGCGGGCCGTAGAACATGTCCTCGCGAGGAAAGAGCACCCGTGCTAGCGACTCTCACTTCACCTGGTACTCACTTCTTGAGGCAGTCACCGCGGAATACAGCCCCACAAACCGAATAAAGCTCCTCCCTCATAACAGAGCTTCCTTCTTCCTCTACCAACACACGACACCTTAACAACAGCCAGACACTCGCAAGAACAACATGCCTTCCTTCCTCGACGGCTACAACGCCTCGGTCCTGGCGATTCCAGCCTACCTCATCCGTATGTACAAGCTTCCCGGTGAGATTACATTCGATCGGTAGTTTAACCTAGCTTCTCGATGATCAGTCTCGTTCCTTCCTCACGCTCTCGCTGTGAGTGTGGCTACTCGGGGCAATCTCCTCGAGTGGGACAACCGAAGCCCGCGCTCCAACGACATGAAGGCCGAGCTCAAGAAGCGCCTGCCTGCTGAGACTTACGCCAAGTACGAGCGCATGGAGGCCTGCCATGCCAACGGGATGGAGGTGAGATTTGATCGACTCTTGTTGACATGTCTGTCGGACTAACAGTAACAGAACCTTCCTCTCTTCATGGGCGCCGTCATCCTCGGTAACATGGCTGGCCTGCCGCAGGGTGAGCTCGCTTCGTTCAGCGCTTCATTCCTAGCTGTCAGGGTCGCCTACACTGCCGCCTACATCACCACTTCGACTCAGGCGCCTACACTTGTTCGCAGTGGCCTCTGGATTGCAAGCGTCTCGCTGTGCTTCCGTACCATCATCAGGGCTGCCGGAGCTATGGCCACTGAGGTCTAGGTTCGCGGATGGAGTCAGGGTAGTCGAGATACTCGAGCGACAAGCTAGATGAACGACCGGAGCAGAAGACAGATGCGGGTGACGAGGATACGGCGAGATTAGCTGATACGACATCAATGTCAATGCTGCCTTGCAATAACCATGTGTCCACTCGATAATGTGATGTTGTTCTCTTGGAAGTATTGATGCCTAAACCAGGAGAATGTGCCTCGACTTACTGATGTGGCTGAACCATACCGTCCCGTTGCTACACTTCAAGGTGTTGTGAGTGTTCCGCGTCCCTCGGTCGCCCTGAAAGACAATGGCATGCGCGTTGATCAATGCGACCCAGAATATCTCAAGAACTACACGTCGCGTTGGTCAGACGTCAGTATACAGCGGTTGCCCAGTCAGTAGTGCGGATAGCTGTGGGTCCTGGAGCTCACGCAATCCCGGGGCAGCTGATCGCCCAACCGAACATAAATGGGTGCCTTGGGTTCCACATCCGGCCTTCAGGAGAGCCAAAACGTGTCAAGTTCTTAGTAGCGATCATAAGAAGCGTTCCAAGTAAAGGAATAGCTGCAAGCAAGAAGCCTCTCACCGCAACTCCTTCAACAAAACGACGATAAGCGATCGCCGCTCTTGTCACGTGTCTGTGGCACTTGCCAGCTTACGAACAGTGCCCAGACTTCGCCGCGCTTTCCACCACATCTCTTCAACGCAGCCCTTCCTGTGCATCGTTTAGAGTACATCACATCCACCCGCCCCATCCCCGAATACCACCGACTCTCTTGAACCTGTCCGTAAGTCAATCGCCGCTGCATTGTTTTTTCTGCGTTTGCTTTGCCCAACCCGTAGCCGGCGCCTGGCCAGCTCCCTCGTGGCCTCGAGTCGACTCCGCAACGGGCGCTCAACATGGCTGCGCCGGCCATGCGACTCCCGTCACCGTGCTCAATACCAGCCGATAAGGCCACGATACTCTCCTCAACCCTCTTCTGACAACTAGTGTCGCAGGTTCGAGAGTCTATACACCGCCTCCCAACTCACCCGCCCTACACTACCACACACACCCACCGCAATCATGGGTCTCACATTTTCGAAGCTGTTCGATAAGCTATGGGGAAAGAAGGAGATGCGCATTCTCATGGTCGGTCTTGACGCTGCCGGAAAGACCACCATTCTCTACAAGCTCAAGCTCGGTGAAATCGTCACCACCATCCCCACCATCGGTACGTCGCGATGTGCAGCATGAGCTCAATCAGGACAATGCGCTGATTCTTCGACCTACAGGTTTCAACGTCGAGACCGTCGAGTACAAGAACATTCAGTTCACCGTGTGGGATGTCGGCGGTCAGGACAAGATCCGTCCTCTGTGGAGGCATTACTTCCAGAACACCCAGGGTATCATCTTCGTCGTTGACAGCAACGATCGCGACCGTGTTGTTGAGGCGCGTGAGGAGCTCCAGCGCATGTTGAACGAGGACGAGCTGCGGGACGCTCTCCTCCTTGTCTTTGCCAACAAGCAGGATTTGCCTGTAGGTTTCAAGAGCCGTGAACACAAATATCCAAACGACTAACAATGCGTCAGAACGCCATGAACGCCGCTGAGATCACCGACAAGCTTGGTCTTCACAGCCTCCGACAACGTGCCTGGGTATGTTCCGGGTCACCCCTGCTTTAAAAGCGTGTCAGCTAACCCCCTGCAGTACATCCAGTCGACTTGCGCTACCTCCGGTGACGGTCTCTACGAGGGTCTCGAATGGTTGAGCAACTCTCTCCGCAAGGCCGGCCACAACTAAGTTTGGCGAGCGCGAACCGTCACATAGCGAGTCACGAAAATGCCAACCGTCTGCTAGCACAGACCTCTTATAACGAACGCACGCCCCATCGTTGTGGCAGAGCCCAGCCATGACGCATCTCTACAAAACCACGGACCCATGAAATGTATTTGCATCGGTGTCAAATGTCAGATCGGATGGTGGAGCGGAGACACATGGTTTCTCTTCTCTTTTCGCCATTGGAGTTTGTGTGAAGTACTATGACATTTCGTTTCTGGGATCGTTGGGAAATCAGTTCTCTGGTTACTTTACGTGGTACTATCAAATTTGAGTCTCTTCTTACTAGCTGCTGTCTTGACTGCATGTGTGTGGTGACTCGAGAAGCTGTTCAGAACCGTTCATTGCTCTATTCACATGTAGGGCTACATTGCGCAAATCGTAATACATGCCAGAACGCCAATCATCCCCTCCCAGACCCCTCACGCTACCCATGCAAGGCGATAAATGTTGATAGCTTGCTGATGTGGTGTTCCATGTCAAATGGCGCCCATTTCGTTGCTTAAGTGGAATACTCTTGTCGCTCAAGACGCGGGTGCAGCCTGCTGCCCACCTGCCTCCTTGGCTGCCGTGATTGGCGGAAGCAGTCCCTTCTCAGCCCAGAGGTCGACCAGCGGCTGCATGGGCTCGATTTCCTTGTCGCCGATCAAGTTGAACAGCTTGCCGACGTTGATGAAATGGATGAAGCACGTGTTGAGCTCCTTGTACGCACTCACGTTCCAGAACGGGTCCAGCCAGTGGCCATGGTAGATGTGTGCATAGCATCGCATCATCTGGCGGTAGATACTCTTGATGTCGCCCTCGAAAGTCTCAGGGAAGCCAGACGACTTGCCGAGCCACTCGCGCCCGGCGAGTTGGGACATTGAGGCATTGGAACTGGTTGGGCCGAGAGGCTGTGGCGTTGAGGTTGGTGTCATGGAACCAGAAGCATAGGTCGAAGCTCCGATAGAAATGGCTGTGGTGTCTGTGGGGAAGATGTTGGGGTCATTGATCTTGCCCACGATCCACTTTTGTACGAGGTTGATGTACTGGATAGCGGGGATCTTGATGGGCTTCTTGTTGTTGTCCAGCCAGGTGTATGTGTGGCCGCTGGCAGACATGGTAGGGCAGGTATCTGGGTTGCAGACAGGCTTGCCTGTCCGGTCGTCTGTTACCTTGATGATTTCAATCATTTGCTCGAGTAGCCTGTACTGCTCGACAACTGGTCACATGCTTAGCGATATCGGGGCATTGAAAAGTATTAACATACCTTGATGTGCGAGCCATTCGCCCTCTTCGACTAGCTTCGGCTTCGCAGCCAAAGTCATAAAGTTACCCTTGACGATCAAGTTGGAGTACTCTTCGCGGAAGAAGAAAGGCGGTCTGCGGGAGCCAGACGGCACGGACCCATCTGACGGAGCTCCTTGGCTTTCGAACGACATGGCAGAGGATAGAGCGGGAGAATGGGGCATAGGCGGTTGGCCTGGAGGTTGTTGGTTTGTTGGTGAAGCCGAGTATGGAGTGGTTGGCGACGCGGAGCCACCTTTGCCCTGCTGCTGTTGGCCCTTGTTGGATCGACCAGCCAATCCTTGGCGACTATCGGTGAAGTTGTTAGAATGAGGAAAAGACAACTTCAGGCTCCGACGGACGCAAGTTATAACACAATAAGACGGCAGGGAGATGCCGAAAAGTGGTGCATATCAGAAAGTGAAATCGTGAGACGACATGCAGCAAATGCCTGAATGTTTCAGGCCGTGGACTGGGGGTGGGAGGCGCGAGCATTTGAGGAAGGGGAGCATGTGCCAAGCAACTTACACGTTTGCGAAAAAAGAGGCCATGATTTGCGGATTCGTGGAATTTAGTGTGGGGGGTTCGGGGCGGATACGTCCAATGCACCTAGAGAGGCCGGCTTATGAAGGTATGCAAGAGGATTGAGGGGGAGGATGTTGGTGATACGTCTCGAGCGGGCACGCTTTTTGGGCCCACTCTCCTAAGGGCTGCATCGAGAAGGGGCGGCACGTTAGGCTGGATTGGGATAGCGCGATTCTCATGGGTTACTGGTCGCAACTTTGTTCATCGCGGCCATCAATCGGTGCGCGTACCTTTACCGCATCTATCACGTCAATTTACTCGCAACTCGAGGTCTACGGTCGCGTCGCTGTCTTGAAGAGTCTGGATACGATACCAACAGGAAGCCAGCAAAGCCACCAACCGCGACCATGTCCGACGCGGGCCAGCTCTCCGACGAAGAAGTCAATGGCCAGGCAACTCCTGCTGGGAATGCCGACGATGGCACTCCGCTAAACACTGTGGAGGACAACGGTCTCGAGGATGATGAAGATGACCTGTTTGGCGACGGGGATGGAGACGCAGGTGAAGATGCGCCAGCGTAGGTCGCGAATAATCCAGTACCAGTATCAGACTGACGTGTTTAGTGAGCACCGAAAGCTTGATGATGCAGAGCTCGACTCCGGCGACGATGAGGGACGGGCAGATCGCGTCAGAGCACCCGAAGCTGTGGAGGAGGTCGAACAACAGACATTTGCCTACATGGACGCCGACTTGGCGCGACATCCCGTTCCCGAGCCCACCGACAACGAGCTGTACCTTCTGAAAGTCCCGCGCTTCTTATCCTTCGAAGACAAAGCATTCGATCACAAGACCTTCCAGCCGCCGACTACAGACCACCACTCCAAGCTCACCGCGTCTGAGCACTTCTCAGCCTACAACACCGCCATGACCACGGTCAGATGGCGGCGCTCACCCTCGAACAACGCCGTCCTACAGTCCAATGCTCGGATTCTTAGGTGGTCAGACGGCTCCCTAACCCTTCAGCTTGCGACCGACCCTACAACCCAGTACGACATCGATGCCAACACCCTAGCCCCACCGCAAGTCAACCCCAAGATTCCCACACCAACGGCTGTCAGAGACGAGAAGAATGGCAAGACAAGCGCGAAGAAGGAGAGCTACACATACCTGGTTGCGCCGTACGAGGAAGCGAACGTTATGCGCGTTACGAACAAGCTCACGGCATCCCTCAACGTCGTACCCACATCGAACACGAAAGACGCCGCGCTGGAAAAGCTGCAAAACGACCTTGCCAAGGTTGCAGCAAAGGGCCGAGACGATGCCGACCAAGCCATATCCTTCATCAATGTGGACGAAGACCCCGAGCTCCGCCGACAACGGGAAGAGGCCACATTCAAGGAGAAGCAGAGGCAATTGCGCGCTCGCGAGAAGCACGAAGCGCGTCAGGCAGAGCGTGCAAACCGCACCATGGGCCGCACCGGCGGTCGCGCTTCAGGAGGTCTCGACATTGACGGATTGGAAGATCGCCCAGCTCGGAAGAAGAACGCGCAGAAGGGTGGCTTACGGCGTGACTGGAGTGACGACGAAGACTATGGTGGCCCACGGAGGAACCGCGAGGACGACTACGACGAGGAGGATGACTTCATCGCCGCTAGTGACGAGGAGCCGGAGATCGTGGACGACGACGATGATCCAGATGAGGGTATTGCGGCGAGTCCGAAGCGAGCGCGCGGTGGTGTTGCTGCCGACGATGACGACGACGATGAGGTGGTTGTTAGCCGGACAAAGCGGAGACGTGTGGTTGACGATGATGAGGACGAAGAGTAGACTTCTGGAGATACGTTGCCTCTGAAGACAGTGCTATTGCAGCGCTCGGCCTCCAAAGTGACAGCTTGGATCCAAGGAATGCGAGGGGAGTAGGATATGGTGGATTATCGTCACGGTATGGTCGCGAGATGTACAAGAAGAACTATTGGAGATTGGTTCATTTCCATCTACGATCATCAGCATAGCCAGGAGTTTGGGGTCCTCCATGCATCACTTGTATTATTTACATTATTGACAAAATACAAGGAATGGTATCATTCGGTATCCAGCTCTTGCCTCAAGCTAGACTAACGGCGTGCAATACAACACAGCTGACGATTTCGTGGCTCTAGTCCTACTGGCCTTACGCAAGGTATCCGTTACTCTGATATACTAAGAGGATGCAGGATTGGGAGTTATATCCACCTACCGCAGTCTTCCTGGAATATCCGCTTATATCAGATAGTTGCTTGCCTAATACACACTAGTGTACTGCATACTCGATTCGTGTGCATGTATACTAATACCTACATCTGTAAGTTGAGTCACCTCACCTTGGGGATAAGTGTAGCATTCAAATCAGTGGTCTTACAACCCATCTCAAAATACATCTTCCTACACTCGGTCAACATGTCCACACAACAACCTGTTCGCCTGGGATGGATAGGTCTAGGATCAATGGGCCTAGCCATGGCAACCAACATACAGAAACATCTTACACAACACAATCTACCACCACTGAAGTACTGGAACCGAACTCTCTCACGAGGTGACAGCCTGAAAGACATCGGAGGCACTCCCTGTTCATCAATCACAGAACTAGTTCAAAACTGTGACGTGATATTCGTCTCCGTGAGTCCTTCATACAATATAATACCCAATCCATGCCATTAACACTCCCCAGGTAAGCGACGACACAGCCCTCCAAACCATAACTTCCACCATCCTCTCCAGCGGCCCCCTGACCACCAAAACCATAATCGACACAACAACCGTCCACCCCACCACCACATCAGCCATAACAGCTCAGTTCACTTCCACAGGCGCATCCTACATCGCCGCCCCCGTCTTCGGCGCCACACCCCTCGCCCAAGCCGGTGGTTTGCTGATGGCCATTGCGGGGCCTCCATCTGCCATCACCCCCATTCTGCCCTTCCTTGAAAACGTAATCGCGCGCGCGGTAATTAGAGTGGGTGAGGAACCTTCTCAAGCACTTCTGCTGAAAACAACAAGCAATTTCATAACCGCAGGTCTCATGCTTCTTCTCAGCGAAGCCCACGTTCTAGCAGAAAAGACCGGGCTGCCTGCCTCTGTCCTCGAATCGCTTATTGAAGAAAACTTCGGGACAAACGCACATGGCGTATCAAAGCGCTTGACGAGTGGAAGTTACTTCCCTGCTGAAGGGCAGGCACCTTCTTCGGGGTTGGAGCTGGGGATTAAGGATGTGGGTCATGGGGTTAGTCTTGCGAGGGAGAACGGGATGAGGTTGGGGATTGGGGAGATGTATCTTGAGGCTGCGGAGGAGGCGAGGGTTTATGGCGAGGAGAGGGGGAGGAGGTGTGATAGTAGTGCTGTTTTTGGGGTGGTGAGGAAGAGGGCTGGGTTGGGGTTTGAGTCTGAAGTGGTTAGGGAGAGGGATGGTGATGGAGAGGAGGAGAAGGAGTGATACAATGGGTGATCGTTGCTGGACTATGATCAGTTGGACTGTGACTCATGTGCGATTCAGCGTCAGAAGGCTGGCAAGGCGTACGCAAGGTCGTCATTGCAGAAGTAGAGGCAGAACGACAAGCTGCGGAAAAGAGCGGGGAGTGCTTACTTCAAACATGGAGATCTGCGGTTGAGTGAGGACCAGAGCAACAAACAATATAATTGAGATCTATTTTCAGGCAAGCTACCATTTCTGGTCTATACAAAGATAAGTAAAGCCTGTCTATACCCAGCTCATCTACCGCACTCTACTGTGCACCGCTTTCCGCAGCTTGTCGTTCTGCCTCTACTTCTGCAATGACGACCTTGCGTACGCCTTGCCAGCCTTCTGATCTCTTGACATGGCTGACTCTGCGCGGCTTGTCCTCGAGACCCTTGAACTCAACAGGTAGTACCTTCTCCTGGAAGTACTCCTTCTGCTCTGGCAGCGCGAGTTCGACCGCGTTCGCGAACTTGGCTGGATGCGCTGTTGCGAGCGCAATGTGGTGTGTGGATGGAGGCTTGGACACCTCAGCTGAGCGGAGTGCTGCTGCGATACCGATGGCGGAGTGTGGGTCGAGAACGTAGCTCTTCGATGACTCTGCGTTGAAGACGTATTTGATCATCTCGAGTGTCTCCTCGTCGCTGACGCGATATGAGGCGAAATCGGACTGTGCTGCTTCGAGAATCTGCTTGTCGACCGCGAAGCCGCCGTTCGTCTTCAGGTCGTTGAGCCAATTCCGTACGTGGTCGCCAGCTTGGCTCCTTCGTTGCGATACGGCGTCTGAGTTTGAGCTGTACACGTCGTATGACAGGAACCAGAGCAATCGCTCGAAGTTGGACGAGACGAGGATGTCCATGGCTGGGCTCAGCGTCTCCTTGACTCCGCTCTCGTGCGCCTTGGCGCCATCCTCAGGGATACCACCCTCAGCTTGCTTGCCATGTACGGGGTTCTTCTCGTACTTGCCAGTTTCCCAGAAGCGGTGTAGAATGTCGTTCGCGTTTGTGGCAATGACCAGCTTCTCGGCTGGCAGGCCCATGCGCTTCGCGAAGAAGCCGGCAAGGATGTCGCCAAAGTTGCCGGTAGGCACGACGAAGCGGACGGTGGAGGCGGGAAGGAAGGACTCCTGCTTGATAAGGTCGAAGTACGAGTAGAAGAAGTAGGTGATCTGCGCGAGGATACGGGCCCAGTTGATCGAGTTGACGGCGGCGAGGTGGTGCGTCTTGTTGATCTCGGGGTCTGCGAAAAGGGCTTTGACGAAGTCCTGGGCGTGTTAGTTGTGTCTTGGGCTACCAAGGAGGGTGCCTACCTGGCAGTCGTCGAATGTGCCGTCTACGGCCAAGTTGTGCACGTTGGCGTCCATGACGGTCGTCATCTGCGCCTCCTGGATGGGGCTGACTTTGCCATGCGGGTGCATGATGAAGACCGACACATCCTTCTTTCCGCGCAGACCGTAGATGGCTGCTGAGCCGGTATCACCACTTGTCGCGCCAATGACGGTCAGATGCTCTCTGTCGCGTCCGGTCTTTCCCTGGTTCTTGCGCACGAGGAAGTACTCGAAGAGGTTGCCGAGGAATTGCAGCGCAACATCCTTGAAAGCGAAGGTAGGCCCGTGGAACAATTCCAGCAGATGTATGTTCTTCTCCTTGTCGAGTGTGACGGTGGGCACGACGTCTTGTGCGCGGAATGTGGAGTAGCTGCGGTGGATGATGTCCTTCAGGTCTGCGGCCGGGATCTCGGACGAGGAGATGTAGAGAGAGAAGATCTCGAAAGCGAGGTCTGCGAAGGAGAGGTTCTTCCACTTGGACGCCCAGTCGTCGGGCAGCGTGGGGATTTCTTCGGGGATGAAGAGGCCGCCGTCGGAAGCGAGACCCTTGAGGACGACTTCCTCGAAGGAGAACTATGCCCTGTTAGCAGCCGTCTGAGCGCATCCTCGCTGGGTCGCTCTCACGTCATAGGATCCTCCCCGGGTACTCAGGTACCGCTGCGATGCTGTGTGCGAGGACATTATGTGTAATACCAACCAACGGTCTAGCGAAGTGCAAAGCAAAAAAGTGTAATTGGTGACGGCTGTCGTGTATGTCCCAAAGGTGATGTGAAGAATAGTCCCCGTGGGGAAAAATGTTGTGATGACTCCGGGATCGCAGTTGAGTCAAGGGACCGCGTCTCGCCCTGTCAAATTCCGGATCGCCTGCACGCGTCGACTAGGCCGCTGCATGATTAGCATTGGCGTTGCCGTAGTCCGATTGACGATTGTCTACGAACGGCAAAACACTGCGAAGGCCTCTGTGTTTCATTGAATGCAATTGCGTTCGTCCTGCTGCCCCGCCACACGCACGAGTCCAACCCCGCCATGCGCTGTGCCTGCATCAATGGCGATGTCGGCGCCAACGAATGACACCATCGGCGAAGGCGAGGCGTTATATTTGTAAGGCGACCGATCGCTGTTCCGTAGAGTCAATTCTACTGTCAATGCTTTGCTCACGTGAACCTCGTTTTCCTGAGGTGCACGCATATCTAGGTACTTATCGTATTACCCATCCGAGGTGACGCCGTTCGAAGATAGAAGAATTCAAGTGTGAGTAAAGTGACGACGGATACATCTCGAAACCTATGTAGTCATCATAACGCTGTTACCATATGACACTGGTGCAGACTCCATGGCCATCGAATCCATCAACCAGGGCGATGTCCACCTCCATCCACGCCAATCCCTCCACTACTGGGCTTCTACGACCTGTCGACACGCGAACAATCAAATCACTGTTCATACTAGAATAGTACATTGCTCGACCGACGCGGAAAAACAAGCGGGTCATGACGGGAATCGCGCGAATACCTAGGTAGCAGCGAGCCCCTTCAGCTAGCGACAACAGCGCAGGAAGTTTCGCTCGACAAGACGCACGCCGGAAATTCGATGAAGTGCACTCACGCAGTATATCTTCAAGTCGCGACAACGTATAAACTCCTACTCAGCTCGGCCGGGCGAGAGTACTACAATAGACCTCCGGAGCAAGCACGGCGGCTTATACTGCACTCAGGCAGCTACAACAGGACCCAAACAAGCTACGGCAGCTTACAACACCCTACCCAGACCAGTCATGCGAGAGGACTACAATAAGTTCCAGACGCAAGAACGGCGACTTATACTGCACCCAGGTAGCTACAACAAGACTGAAATAATGCGCGAAGCCTTTTGGTCTCTAGCGAAGCGAGGAGGCTACAGGAGGACTTTGGCGCAAGCATGACGGCTCATATCCAACCCGAGAGACTACAACGAGAGACTAGAGAGTAATCTGGTACAAGGACGACGGCTCACATACGTCCCTGAAGACCTCGACTCGACTCCGGCGCAGGCCACAATAGCTCACGAGGTCTTGCCCGGCCCGGTGGAGCAAGGGGACTACAAGAGGACTGTACCGTAAGGACGACGGCTCATATGCAACCCGGGAGACTACAACAAAGATCTCTTCCTCAGGCCACCAGCAAGCTGGAAGACCCGATGAAAGGCACCTAAACGGCATTCAAGCCAGCGAAGGAGGAGCAGTTGCTTGTTGGCACATGCGCTCCAGGAGTTCATGTCAAAGACGATCATGTCAAAAGACAATCACATCAAAGACAATCCCTCTTTACTTCCCGAAGGCAGTTGTTAGTCCGTCACTTCGTTGGAACACCGGCTGTAGGCTGTAGGCCTGTGTTCCCTTGAGCGGTTGGCTTTGTCCCGACTCGTAGCGGCATTAAAGCCGACTGGGTGAAATTTTAGTGGCGCCTTGCGGTACCAGCTGTGTCAGTAATAGAGGCTGCTGCAAGCCCTATATACCGTGTTGAGAGCGAAGTACGTGCTCAATAGGTGTAAAGCAGCCTACACTTTTGCCGCATGCATAGATTTATTATGTCTTGAAGGATTAATCAAAGCAGAGCCTGGCTCACCTCAGCGTACGTTTAAGTTGAGGAACTCTCGGTAAAAGTGTATCGGATACCTCAAGCCTCTACTTCATTGCAGGCTACTCAACATGGCTTGAAGCATAATTCTCATTTCGCGACTTGTCATTTGCATCCCTTCCGTATCCTGACAGGGACGCACGATTAGAATGGTTTGCGGTAAGTTCAGAGACGTACCTCCTAAAATGGCCGAATTGCTGTCAAGATCTCTATCAAATGTGTCTAGCTGGACGTATACCTTGGCTTCATATTTTTCGATCTTCGCGCTCATGATGAAGCTAGTAGCACTTCAGTACGTTTTGTAGGCCATGAACGTAAAGTCAAAGTACTGCGAAGTCTGCAGGCTCCACTGCTCCGATGAGAGAAAAGTTAACCTGGTTCACGGTCCATGAAGAGGTCCCGTCCATCTTGAAGTGGGGCTAAGAATGAGATTAGATGCGCCAGGCAGTCCATCACGCTGGATATCGGCCAAATTTTCGATAGTTAGTGAGTTGAATGTAGGAGTAGTAGCGCAAATACGTCCAGGCTATACTGTGGTTGCTGCATACATAGAAGCGCGTATATGCAAACATACAGACAATGATACGGCCTGGAGGTACACAGTACCTTTCGTAATGACACTCTATTACAGTAACGCATAATGTATAAGTCCGGGGT